ATAATAAAATAGCCTTTATAGCTACTATTCTTGACCCCCAAGTTAAACTAAAGCTGATGCTTGATGATATGAATAATGAAGAGAATCGTGCTATATTTAATAATATTTTTAGAACAGAATATTTTTCTCCTATTTTAAATAATTTGTTTACTAATTTAAAAACATTAAATTTAATATATACAGAACAAATTGCTCAAAAAAAATGAAAAACAAATGTACTTATCAATAGAACAGACGAATTTAATCAGTACTTAAATGAGGCCATTTTATCCATGAGCATTGATCCTTTGGAGTGGTGGAAGTTTAACCATACATGCTTTTTTAATTTATTTCAAATAGCTAGAGATTACTTAGCTATCCAGTCTACTTCAGTATCATCTGAACAAGTATTCTCCAAAGCAGGTGACACTGTTCGGGCCAAATATACATGTCTATCTGATAAAAGCGTACAAGCTCTTATGTATATTAATTCTTGGTTAAAATATGGTATTAGATTTCGTAGAGGATAATTATAGATATATATACAGTATATATATACAAATGAATTTGTTAAAATTTTTAGCAATTTTGTTCGATCTGTTTTGTGATTAAAAACAAATATTTTTATTTGTAATATTATAAATATAAAATCTTTTTTTTTGATAAATTTTAAAATAAAGCAACTTATTTTTCAATATAAAGCTTTGCTTATAAATTTTGCTTTACTTGCTTTACTTTATGTTTATCTTAAATGCTTATTTTCATTGTAAATCTGTTTAATTAATTAAGATTAGCCAATGTCAAGTTAAGATTAGCTGATATCAAGTTAGGATTAGCCTAGGTTATAGAGTAGAGGAAGATTTTTGTTTTTTACTTGAGACTAAAATTTATGAACGTTTAAATTGAATCTAAGATAAAATTTTAAATAGCATGTTAGAATATATATTCATGTCTAATTGAATAGTGATTATCTTATCTAAAGTAGTAGCTTGGCTCAGCTCAAGGTTAATTAGCTCATGAATGGCTTGGCTCTAGCTTTTAAAGCCAAAGGATTGGCTCAGCTTGGTCAATGTTAGCTATGAGCTGAGCCGAGCCAAGCTATTTGTATTACTACTTATCACCTTTATATTATCAAGATGATTATTTGAAGATATTATATATTAACCTTTTTTATTAAATCGATATATAGCATATTTTCTTAAAACATCTGCCTATTAGCTTTTTTATTTCTATTTAATTGATTTATATTCAACAGCCTATTGCTCTCATATCATCTAGACGATTATTTAAAGATATTATATATTAATCTTTTTTATTAAATCGATATGTAGCATATTTTCTCAAAATATCCATCTATTAGTACCGTATATTCCCGAAAATAAGCTATCATTTTTAGGCAAAAAATTACACAAAAATTTCAGGAGTAGCTTATTTTTGGGTAATAGAGATTTTTTATCATTTTTGACTATTTTTTATTAAAAAAAGTAGTATATATATATAAGTCAAAATGGTACTATGTAAATCAGTAAAAGTAGCTTAATAAATGTTGTTCAGAATAAAAAATACACATATTTTGAAAGTTTCATACAATTTGGATAACTTTTTATTAGTACACTTTTGCCTTTTAAATTTGAATTTAAAATGCAAAAATGTATTAATAAAAAGTTGTCTAAATTGTATAAAACTTTTAGAATATATGTATTTTTAAATTCTGACCAACTTTTATTAGGGTCAAAATATATATTTACTTAGTACAATTTTGACTTTTATATATAATAACTGTTAAAAAATTTTGAAAAATTCAGGGAGTAGCTTATTTTCGGGTAAGAGAGGATTCTCACTTTTTTGCTCAAAAGTAAAGGGGTAGCTTATTTTTGGAGTAGCTTATTTTTGGGAATATATGGTATTTTTATCTCTATTTAATTGATTTATATTCAACAGCCTATTGTTTTCATATCATCTAGATGATTATTTGAAGATATTATATATTAACTTTTTATTCTTTATTATTATCTAAGCTAATTATTTGAAGATGTTTATATTAACTAAGCCAACCTGTAAAATAATTACTTAAATAATCAGTCTATTAGATTTTTTTATCCCCATATAATCAGGTTGTAGCCAATAGCCTATTACTCTTATATCACCTAGACCAATTATTTGAAGATATACAAATGATATAGGGATGATATTTTTGATTTCGACCAGTGTTGGCTAGTTAAATGAGACACAGTAGTATCATACAAGTACCTCTTAGTACCTCTATATGAGTATCTTTCAGTACCTTTTAGTACCTTTACATAAGTACCTCTTAGTACCTCCACACGAATACCTCTCAATATCTCTATATGAGTACCTTTTAGTACCTCCATACAAGTACTTCTTAGTATCTTATACAGGTATCTCTTAGTACCTCTACATGATTTAGTAGTTATACCATTACATCTCTTATGTGTGAAAAAATTATAAAAAAAAAACCTTTGTTCTTTCTACTCAAGTTAGAGTTAATAAAGTTAGTTAGCCTTCTTTACTTCTTTCATAGTATCCAGCCCTACCTTTTTATCTTGTATATAGTAATATACACACTCTAAAGTAATCCTAGTAGGTAAGGTTATTCTCCTTGATCTATAATAAATAAAGTATTAACTTAATATACTGATCCAATGTCAAACCATTGCCTCCTACTAGTAGAGTTTGTAATGCACTTCACTTTCATCCTGTGTACACCCCAACAGTAGAGTCCCTGCACCAGATGCCATGCTACCTTGCCATATTGGTGCAAGAAAGCTATGGCATTGTGATAGAGAGAGTGTAATTATATAGAGTGACTATAAAGAGGTTTGACTGTATATAGATGCCACCAAGTAAAAACCAGGAATTTTAAAAATAGACTTCTTTATATAATGGAATGCAAGCTTTTAACCAATCTAACTAGAATAATAAATTATACTGTTTTTTTGGTTATATATTAGTATCATTCAAAGTTTGTATTCCTTTGTCTAAAGAAATACATTTTTAGAATTCCTGGTTTTCACTTGGTGGCACCCATATATTGATACAACTACTCCAGTAGCACCGACAGATTTTCACTAATTGACACCAATCAGATTTGATTAAAACAACAATTTTTAAAATAACAAACCATTATATTATGGTTAGTTTATAATCTTATGGTCTCATCGGAGCTTTTTTTATATCAAAATTTTGCAAGGAATTTTTTGTGCTAATGTACAATAAGTAGTTTCATATATAATTTTGAGTTATTTGCTATTTTTTAAAGTTTTTTTAAAAAACGCATGATTTCCACATTACACCTGATCTTAAAATCTAATAGGTTAGTCATGGCATAAAAATGTCCGGATCACAAGATCTCCCGACCTCTTTGACTTAGCCCGATAAATCAAATGTTACATGAAAATTAAACCAATATTAATATCATTAATTAAAATAACGTTAATATTTTAACTCTTATAATAAACATAATTGATTTTATTTTCGTTAACATCAAAGAGGTCGGAAGCAATCGCTGATCTCGTGATCTGGACATTTTTTTTGCCATGACTAACCTATCTCTTAAAATCTAATTGGTCAATTTATATCGATCAGTGAAAATCTAACGGTGCTACTGGGGTAGTTATATTGATATACTGAGTATAAAAACCAGGGTTGTTGTTATTAATGGAATAGAGAACAGGAGGGAACGTTGATGTTACACAACTGATTTTACACACGGTGTGAAACACATAAAAAAAATACTTGATCGGACTTGATCAGTCAGCTAGTACATGTACGATCATTTTTTATTATAAAAAAATGATGTTGGGTACGTAACATGTACTATCAAGTCCGATCAAGTATTTTTTTTGTGTTTCACACCGTGTGTAAAATCAGTTGTGTAACATCAACGTTCCATCCTGTTGGAATAGAGTAGATGGGTTGGGTTAAAATTGGATAGAGCAAACCTTATTCTAACCCAACCCGGGTAAATTAACACTCCAGGTTGTACTCCAGGTTGTGCTCTAGGCTAGTGTTTCAGGTTAATTAATGCTCCGGGTTATAAGAATAATTTTGTTCCGTATGGAGCAACCCGGCTTTGCTCCAGATTACTCCATATAAGCATATGCGGCTTCATCCCGATTGGCTAATAGACCTATAAAAACGCTCTATAACTAACTCTCTTCATTTTTGTGATTATTTTGAAGTATATAGAGCGAAGGTGTAGTTTCTGAATATATATTCGGTCCTCCTGGACAATTCGGTTAAAGTCAGATAAGATATATTTCAGTAATATTCAAAGACCACTATGCTGCTCCAGGCCACTCCATATGGTGCAATCAACCAGGTCACTCCATATGGAGCAACCAGATTTTACTCCAGGTTATTCCATATGGAGCGGCCCAGATTTTACTCCAGGTTATTACATATGGAGCAACCCGGTTTATAAAAATAACTTTGCTCCGAGGGTTGCTCCGGAATATGTTGCTCCATTAACAACCCTAATAAAACCTCTACCCCGAGTACAGAATAAGAACACTCGTCCAGAAACTTTTTTAGCGACCAAAGTGTCAGTGACGTAAATCATTTCCACCAATTAGGTAGTACATACATTTTATTTACGATATTACCTGATTGGTGAAATGCCTGTGGCGTTCACTAGCCGTCCTGGCTAGTTCTTCCCCAGTGTCGCCACAATTTTTGTGGCGCAAACAAATCAGATTTCAAGATCAGGTACAACGTTACACGATCAGGAAAATTCAAAACAAACGTTCGCTTTGTCAAAAATCGCTTGTTTCTCAAAAAGTTGCATAAGAAACTACCTTTAGTACTCTAGCAAAAAGTTTTCCTTGAGCGATTTTACTATTAGCACCACTCCAACACCTAAATCCAACGTAGATCCTACTCTAACTTTAAGGAATTTTACGTATCACGTGACTGCAACTTTTTGGTGGCGATACTGGGGAAGATGGTAGATCTATAAAATTAACCAATTATATGAATGTCTTCCTATAATTCGCGCTCTAATGAATACGCCTTACCCTGTCTCTTCATCTGCTTCTTTTCGTTCTGTAGCGAATAAAAAGAATAAAAAGCAACCACTGGTGGTAAAAAGAGCCCAACCTACGTTTTCAAAGTTTACTCTTCGTAGCGCTTCTAGAAGAAACACACCCGATTCCATTAATAATTATGCAACTTCGAAAAAGGTTAAAATAAGTCACCAGAGGTTTGTTACAACTAGATCGTCCCATTATATCAATATTGATAATGATAAAAGAGAACGGATAATTAAGGAAAAGAGCGTGAAACGCAAACCTAGGGCAAGTCCTAGCATTACAGCTGAAGAGGATTCGTGTTTAAACACAAACGGGTAATACTTGAATTTATTATCATTTTCTTTTACGTGATGATAATCGAAAGGATATCAATTAATATCATACTTTAACTAATGATAGGATCGATATCATAACACGAATACCACCAGACTTCGACAGTATAGATACGTTTATTGGTCCGTCATCATTCGCAGTTGCTCAACAAACCGGTTATTCTGGTTTCCGAAATAAACCAAGTCAACCGAAAGCAGAATGTCAAGACGCATATTGCATAAAAGACCTAAAACACCATGATGGATCTCATGTTGCTAGGTTGTTTTGTTTGGCAGATGGGCATGGTGGTTCAGGCTGTTCCCAATTTTTGATAGAAAATGTACCTGACCGTGTCGAAAAGTTACTACAAGAATTACTACAAGATGATCATACGATAAACTTTGACGATGAAGATACGCAGGATCTTTTTAAAAAATGGATAAAAGATCTCATAAAGAAGTTGGATGATGAATACATCGATGATAAAAGAGAAAAATTTAGACGCTGGAAACATCTGAGAGATCAAGGTAACGACTCGGCCAAGCCCGATGATGATGGCGCGACCCTTATAATTAATCTATTCGTCGGTAATTGGTTTGTCAACGTCAATGTTGGTGATTCGCGCACCATTCTAGCTTATCGTAATAATAATAGTAAGAGAAATAAGTGGACTGTAGATTTCGCTAGCGAAGATCATAAGCCTTTTCTAGAACGACTTGCTCTCCAGATTTTCCAAAGTGGTGGTATGTTTGTGGAAAGTAAGAACGGTAAGACCGATAAGAATATTGAATTTGATCCTTTCATAAATCGACCTATTCGAAAAAACATGAAGAAAGCGCGTATTAGATTATCAGATCAAGATGAGGATGAAAATGAAGATGGTATTCCTTTTAAAAATGGTTCAGGAAAATATATCTCGCTTAATGTAGCTGCAACTTGTGGTGATTTGTTTTTCAAATTGGATCCTCTCAAACGGATAATCGATTGTGTTCCGGACGTTTTTTTCAAGAAATTGGATGATTGTAGTGGTGATCGATTTCTTTTAATGTGCAGTGATGGTCTTATAGACCATTTACGAGAATCAGAATCTAAAGCTGATAGACAAAATCAAGTCATTGCCAATTTTATTGGTCAAAAATTAGTTTCTGAAGACCCTGTTAACGTTGTTAAACATCTTTGTGATAGAGAGGGGGATAGGAAATTTTTTAATGATTTACAAGATTATGATGATTGCACATGCATTCTAATTTCTCTGTAGTGTACGTCCGTGTAACGATTGTTTTAAGTTTATCAACACATATTAGGGTTAATCTTTTTTTTTTTAATCGGAATGATAACTTTGATAACTTCTTTGATATTAATCTTGTAAGATTCGCCCGTGATGAGGTGAAGAGTACCAAAAATTTTAAATGATTTCAAGCACAAATGAAAATTTTTTTTGAAAAAAAAAGGGTATATATATGAAAATAAAGGTGAATTGCTTAAAAGGAATAAACGATTTTCAAGCTAAAAAAAAAAAAGTGTATTGTTAAACTTAAACATGCATTGTGTCACATGACCTTGGCGGAGAATTGCGTATGTATTACGCTATATTTGTAGTTTGGTCTGCTGACCATATAGATAATTATTGTTGATAACTTTATAAATATACCCTGTGTCAGATTGCTATCTGATATCATCTGTTAACCTCTCTCGAATGACTAAAACACATAACTTTAATAGTAACACGTCTTATGATACATCTTTATGCGATAATAATGTAAACAAATCACAAGCTAGTTGGTATCGCGACGCTATGGCTCGTGAGCATCAAAAATTCTGTTCTTCTGTCCTTAAATCTTTAAAAAACCATCCATCGGCAGTTCCTTTTCTTGAACCAGTTGATCCGACAAAGTACGGGATCACCGATTACTTTGATATTATTAAGAAACCTATGGATCTCGGAACCGTCGAAAGAAAACTAAATAATTATGAATACTCCACTGTTCTTGCTTTTGTACAAGATGTCAGGCAAATATTTGCCAATTGTATCATGTATAACGGTACAGCACATGCATTTTCCGTTTTCGCAAAGGATCTTGACAATTTGTTTAATCAGATGCTTAGTAAAATGCCTGGAGTGAAAGAAGAACCTATCGTTAAGACAGAGCCTCCTAACGTATCTGACTCTAAGATTTGTCTTTCTGGAGAGTCGTTGGCGAGTAAAGCACCCGTTGAATCGATAAATCGACCAAAGAGGACCATCAAAGCACCCTCTAAAGATTTACCTGAGGCACCTTCGGTTAAACGTAAAAAAAGTAAATTAAATCAGGAACTCAGTTTTTGTCGTGATGTGATCAGGGAGTTACGTAAAAAAGTTCATTGGGCTTATGCTTATCCTTTTTACGAACCCGTCGACGCCGAAAAATTAGGTGTTCCTGATTATTATAATATTATATCAAATCCTATGGATCTTTCTACAATAAATAGGAGGTTAGAAAGCGGACATTATTCAAATACTGATGAGTTTGAGTCAGATATCCGTTTAATGTTTCAAAATTGTTATACGTATAATGGAAGGGGTTCTGAGGTATTTAATATGGGGAAGATGCTTGAAGCTGTATTTGATAAGAAATGGTCAGAGAAACCTATTCCTCAATATCGACGACAAATGAAAGTTGAAGATTTTTCAGAGTCAAATAGTTCATCAGATAATGATGAAAGCGATGATCATAGTGATCACATAAGAGCTCTACAGTTACATTTAGAGGCTTTGTCATCAGAAATTTCTCAGATAACAAAGAAGCGTAAACCAACCAAATCTAAGAAAAAACACGGTTCTAAAAAGAGTACTTTTGCTCCCTCAGCAGGAACGGGTAAAAAATCACTGAAACGTCCTAAGACTGAAGCTAAAAAATCGTTAAAAACACCTCGAAGCAGTATTAAAAAATCATCGAAAAGTCCTCGTTCGACTATTAAACAAGAAAAAGGTCTTACACCTGTCCAAAAAGTTGAACTTGGACATCGAATTCAACTTTTATCTGCTGACCAAATGGCAGTTGTTGCTAACCTTATTCGTGAGAGTGGTGCACCTATACAGGATGAAGATGGTGAATTTTCGTTCGAAATTGATTCTTTAGATATTAAAACTGCCAGGGAAATGTACGATTATGTGATACAAAATACAGCCGAAAAGGCTAAAGTTAAAAAGAAGCAACCTCCTGCAAAGAAACCTCGTACACAGTCTCTAGTAGAAGAACAAGAGGCACAAATTCTTGCTCTTGAAAGAACATTAGCAAAATTTGAACGAAACTCTGCTACCTCACCATCCGAAGGTCAAAATGAAACTGATAATTCGAACGAAAGTTCTTCAGATAGTCAAAGTTCTAATGATGACTCGTCTGACTCTCAAAGTTCCGATTCATCTGGTTCAGATTCCGAAGATTCAGGTAGTGAGTCACCATAGACCCTTAGAACAATATTACTATCTATGAGTAATAATATAGCACATGAAAGGTCCTTTCTATAGGATAAATGAATAACAAGAATTATTTGTTATAAAATGAGAATATTGTAATTTTTTCCTTTAAATACACATAATCTTTGCCTAGAAGCAAATTTTCCCTTTTTTTCTTTATTTTTTTTTTCTTTTTCTTTTTTTTTTTTTTTTTAAAAAAAAAGTGATTGCGGTGCAAAATAATACCACAGTACATATTTCACGCATTTCCACACTTTTATTTTTTTTATTTTTTTCCGCTTTGGTAGAAAACTTATAGTAACCATGTTGGATCAAAACTTTGATCTCAAACTTGCTAGTGTTTTAATAATCATGCTTGTTATTTACATCTTCTATGGTTTAACACGAAATTTACAATCAGAAATTATCGCTCAAAAGCTTTTCTTTTTTTTTTTTTTTTTTTCCCCTAAAGAGACTTTTACTAATTGAAGTGATTAATATGATATGAAAATCTTAGAATTAAGGTAGAATGAAATTTTAAAGCTCATTTACGTATACGTTAGTGATTTTGAACCGATAAAAAAAAAAAACCAACTTTTTATTGCACATTTTATATATAATAATATATATTATCTGAACAATGAACTCAAATTATAATAATTTCGTTCCGGATATCAAAAGACAAACCGGCGTAATTAACTATAACTTATAAAAATAATATGCTAGGTGTTAATGTTTGATGGAAAAGTAACTTTAGTTTAAATGCTGATCTTCGTCGCTGGGATCCAAATCCATTCCTGCGCTCCCATTTGGTTCCGCATTTCCTATGTGCTGCTCTGTTCCATTAATAGTTACTTCATCTATAATTTGCCCATCTTCAATTTGCCCATCTTCCATCTCATCGTCATGTTCTGTCGGTGTTTCATTATTAGGTGTTTCCTCAATCTGTACTTCAGGACTTTGACTCTGTTGTCCTATTTGTGGTGTACAATTCTCTGAAAGATCCTCATAACCATAAGGATTTTCTACAACAATTTCCGCATCTTCAAGAGGATGTTTTGACTCACCGTTCTTGTATTATGACAAGATTCATGTTAGAAATCTTTAAATTTCGAATTAATAATTGTCATTAAAATAATTCGACCAAAATACACCTTTTTTTTGACCAGTTTTGGTTTACGAATCTGATAAAGGCGTAGTATTTCATCTACTGCCTCTAAATCAATAATAATCATTAAATATTAGATAATGCGTAATAAATTATTTAATGTTAAATTTTTATTAATTTGAAATATGCATTACCTGATAGTTCGTAAACATTAGTCTGTGTAACCTTCCACCATAAAGTCCCCTGTTTCGTTATCTCATTTAATTGAACATTAGCTAACTTTGATGCAATGAAAATCGCTGCGCTTGCAATTATGCTAGGTTTGTAAAAGAGTGAAATTGGTGCATTGAAGCTGTAGACACTCGAGTATTGAGATGTACACAATTTAGAAAAGAAAAGATTTTATAAACACACCATATAATTTAAGAACATGTATACTAAAAACATTTTCTACTTAATCACCTATCATTAATTATTGACCAAGCTTTACCGGCAATCGCCTTATAAATTTCTATTTCTCCTATATTCATATAATATTTAAATCAATACGGATATAACCATTTTTAAAAATGAAAAAAAAGTATTTTCGTATGATTTTTTTTATACCTCCGAGTTCTTTAATTATTTTTATAAGATATGGATACGGATGGTCTAAAGTTAAATCGAAACACAAGGTTGCCGCTATGGTTGGTTCTCGTTTCGTGATCGTATGGTGCCATTTTTCGAACTCCTATTTATTTAAATTAATATAAAATTGTTACAATTTAATAAATCCTGCATTTTTGTTATTTTTATTAAAGAAAATCTCTTACTTTTTCATCTTTGAGATTCTTATCTTTTCTGGCGGTTTTCGCACAAGCCACGGCCACTTCGCTCATTTTTCTTGTGGTTTCCTCAGATTTACACGCCAGGAATACACAAGTCCCACCGATATCCTGTAAAATGTGTATAATGATAAAAATTTATATATATTTTTTTTCTTCAATATCCATCAGATTACATAAGTTACAACCAAAAAAATTGAATTATTACATAATGATGAAATTCATTGAGACTCTTTCGCATATAAAATCGATGCAAAAAGGTAGCAGCAGTTGCTATCGTTTGCTGAGGACTGAAATCAAAATTGGGGTAATTTATAAGAGTTAGATATATATCGCATGTTAAATGATAAAGAACAAGATAAATAGTTAGGGTTAAAATATAAGCATACAGTTTAAGATCATAGGAGACTTCAAGAATAAATTTGACACCTTTGGCTCTTTTATAATTCTCTTCCCATATTGACATCCCATCCCTTCGTGAGGGAGTGTATTTTTCATATTCGTTTTTTTTGAAGATCCAATTCGTCGAGCTATTTTCCATTTATTATAATTTGCCAAAAAATTATGCTATAATGTGCCGTAGCTTTAAAAAAATGAGCGGTCTAGCATGCGATTCTAATAAAAACTTTAAACTTCAGGAAATAAGATAATGTTTTTGCCTGCGGTCTGTATTGCTGTTAAATGGAATAGATATTCCGAAACAGATATATCGATATTCCGAGAGGGATATTCCGAGGGGTATTATTTTAACATTTCTATTTCTGTCATATACAGGGCCCTGAACCGTAGTTTGATCCGGTCTGATCACAGTCTATTTAAAGCCCTCTGATTGGCTAGTTTAATTTAGTTTAATTTTAGCGGAGCACTACGTAAATTTTAAATTACATACC